GTAATTAGTTTGACGAAATAAAATGAAATCATCGCAATGGTTTTGATCTAATGATGCCACTGAATGTATAAACCGTTGTGAACATCTACTGTGAATAAACATGTCTAATTACACTTTACTTTTCATACACTTTATCCCCGCCTATAAATCTGCTTGACCATCCAGAATGTATTGTATTGGTATCCATTATAGATGGGCGTCTCACATTTTATTTGTACCAGAACAAGACAGGCATACATCTCAGCAGGCCAGATACAAGTTTCGTATATTTACGGGACAATGTCATTATGAGTTGAACATATCCGGATTGTACTGACCAACCAACCAACCAATCAATCAAACGCTATGATATACCCTCTCTGAAGACACTGTTGTCATCAGTAGCGCCATGTTCTCTTCATTATTGTGATCAACTCTTCCTGTTTGGGCAGATCTTATAAAACACAAGTAACAAACCGTACATAGTTTGTTTATGCAGTTGTAAAAAGTCTATTAATTTTATATTGTTGTATTATCACAAGGCCATAGTAAAGTATGACAAACGGAACGATATTCCTGCCATACGCCATTCATTATGTTATGCTTTCAAACAATACACGGAGAATACATTCGTGCGTCATTATATTTATTTATTGAAGCAATTCAGAGTGGATTACATATTACTCAATTGGTGGAATGACAATAACTAATACTAATAACGATATAATATTGATTTGAAAAAAAAAAATCAATAAAAAGTTGATACATTTTTGTATTAATTAAACCATCAGTGATCAGTAAGCTGTCCCCGTTCACTGGTTTAAACATCATGCCTAATTAATAAAAATGATCACATGGTCCAGAGTTGGTTACGTTATAAAAAGGTTATATCATTTATATGTAAAGGTGATTGACAATCGTAGCGTCATTAGCTGTATTTTTCAAATAACCTTCAGTTGGTGATAATGCAATGCCATGACGTCACTACTATCACACAGTTCTACGACCAAGTAATACCACGTGACACACTCTTAACATGATTCAACTTGAGTGTAATTTTAGTCGACTTTATAGATAACTGTTCACATTCATTCAATTATCCGGAATTTGTGAAATGTTGAAAGGGGGCAAACTGTTTTTGACGTTATTCAGAAATGGGAACCCATCAGGAATTAAGTTATTTAACTAGAACATAACAACCATACGTAAATGAAGTTAAATCAATCAGCATACCATGTCAGACAAATTCATTATGTATAGCATCACATCATCATATCCGTTGCGTTATTTAGCATATCAATCCTTACTAATATCTAGATTATCAAGTTAGCGATGATAGTAATGACGAAACTTTAATGCCATGAGTTTAGCTACAATTACACCAGTAATTTCTACGGATCATTCGGTAAAACATAGAATCATATCAGCATTTGGTTTAACTTTGAAACACCACTATTATGGAAAAATGAAAATACTCATAACGTATATTATACATATATTAAGGTTTTTACAATTTCGAAAAAGATTTAACTATGATCACAATAAACAAAGTGTGTCATACCATATAAATATTACATGACAGAATCCATTGCCTCAGCCAGACGATTGTGAGGTACGGAATTTATTCGGCACTTATAGAATTGGTTTTAGTACATTTAAAATTTTGTTGATATTAAATCATAATTAAATTTTCGTGGTATTCGTTTGCCCTTGCAAGCCCAAGGTGATGCATATCTTGCGTTTTGCACAACCCTACTCAACTCAAACGTAATATTGAATGATTGCAGCAGGGACCAATCCCCTTCATTTTTCTAATAATATTCAAAACAAATATTGTTACGTTTTATTTATTTGTTAACAATAATAATAAACATTCAATACTGCTTGCCGAAACGTAACCAGCATGTAATTATTCTGGGAAATACTGCATTGTATTTCCCACTATATTGTGAATATGTCAACATCTTCAATAAGTGTGTTATATGGTAGTCATGTGATCAGACAACATGATTTAATTTATCTCGATGACCTGCCGATATATATTGGTATTATATCTATATATAGCTGGTACACGGGGTTAATTCAATTACTCTATTATTTATGTGCACTATAACACAGCATATTGTTTATGGTGGTTACCCCGAAGAGTTTGAGTGAACAGATGTGAACAATACTGAACACGCGAAGGTAACATGTATCGAATATAAAACGCAGAACGAATGAAGGATACCTTCATGACTGGATCTAGAATTTTACAACTTGGTATTACATTGGCATTGATATGATCGATATAACTATGAGAGCGACAAAGTTTTGTTTGTAAAACGTGCATTATGTAAAAAGAATAAATACAATTAGATAATTTGTCTGCGAATTATGCAATTTAATAAACTGATCTTTATTAACTCATCTTTTATGTCTTTCTAACGTCATGCCAAATACCCAATTTTAAACTTATGTAATGGTTGTCATGGTAAAATTACATCGAATGAAGACGTGTATGATGCTACTATGGCAACCATTATATTAGATTCATATTTAATATATCAGTTTATCCTAAATATAGTTTAACTGTTGATGTATGCCAAAATAATTAGTAGTCCCATTAAACGTAAGTTGTTTTGTAAGTATGTAATAGTAAAGGAAATCATTAATGTTTTAGTAATTCTGTGGACAATATTAGATTCGGTTATGCGATTATTTTTATTTCCAAGTTTTCTGGTTTCTCGTCCAAAACTGATCATTTTTTTGGACATTACGCACTGTGCATAAAGTTTGGAAAAAGAATCAACGTGTAGAATGTTGCGTCAGAATATACGCGAGTAGAATTTAGTAGTTAGATTTATTCCATTTGACTGTATTGTCGTCATATTCCAATTGACAACTTAGCTCATATCAGAGACAATTCAACAACTGTGATATATTTGTTTATTTTACATCACTAGTCACATTTCACCAAAAGTAGTTGAAGACAAATTAAAGGTTAAATAAGTAAACGCTATTTATTAAAAGTATTCTCTATGTGAGTTATTTGTGCAGGCGTGCCAAAAATATCTGTTTATATTAGTAATATTAGGTCAAGCCCTCACTCCACAATAGCGGACTCACCCTTAAACGAATATAATCTTGCATATTCAATCGAATGGTAAGGCAGCTGGCTCTTGAAGTTGCATTTCCACTTTTATTATATGATGAACACTTTTTTTATTGATGATTGTGATCATTGTGAAACATTTTAAAATTGGTTCGACCAATAAATTTGATATTAGAGCACTAAAGCTAGCTTGTAAATAAAGTCATTTTACACTAATTCAAATCCAATTTAATAATCCATGCGTCACGAAAAGTGTTTTTGCAAATAGGAAAGTGTGAGTATGTAACTTTGATTTATAATTGTTTTTTTGAGTAATGTTTTTAGATGGGCCAAAACACAAAAAATATCGCGTAAAAGTCTAGTAAGGGACACACCATACTAATACAGCAAAACATGTCAAGGCCAAATCAAAGTCAACTCCAAAATGCGGTTTTAATAACCGATTATTGTTCATTCACTCATTTCGTAACACTTCAATTTATATGAATACCGCGAATTGCAATTTTTTCTGTGCAACTGTTGTGCAATGATCTATTGTTGGTTATTTTATTTGGCTTAGATGGGTTATGGCCAAACCAAAATCAAACATCTAATAACCACTATACAACTATGTATGATTGTGTATTTGCGTCTTGTATTTGAAGGGGCATAACATCCCTCCTACCATGTACGGATAATGTTACTGTCAAGTAAAGATTAATTTATTTTTTTCAATTTACAAGAGCAGGTAAAAGTCAGGTCATATGATGAGTTGAAAATGTCCATGAAAATAAAAATTACTGGAGCAATGTCACGCTGTTTGCTGTCCGATAGATATTTTGCATCAATGAATTAAGGACATATATATACACCCTGTCGTGTTTCAAATATATCTGTCTAATACCTATGCAGATAAAAAATGTACGATAGATTTTGTTTCGTGATATTAACTTGCGTGTGTTCTATTGTTTTTATGAATTTTACAGGTGTGATTGTGCAAACAATTAGATTAAGAAATGGATTAGTGTTTATACTATTAGTTCTATCTTTTTGCTTTCTTTGAAATAAGAGCAGCAGCTAAATAGTTGTGCGTGTGGTTTTTGAATCACTGATGTTTGCAGCGAGTTTTCGACATCTCTGAAATACCTTCTTTACTCTTGAAAATATTGAAGGTTTTCGTAAAGAAAATCCGGCCAAAATATATAGCCTGTGGCTGTTATGAAATATTATAAATCTACTAGAAAGTACAAATAGTTATGGCTCATGAGTAGAATAAGCTTCATGTAAAACTGAATAATGCTTCATTGAAACACCTAGCATAAATGAATCATTCTCACATATTATAAAAGCATTTCCACTAGCATGAAGCAATACTTCAATAAATTATCGATTGAAAAACACTGTTACAATAACCATTGAATATCACAACTTGAAAATAAGTTTAAAGTGAGGCCGCTCTGATTATTTACGATAAAGTATGCGACGTACTGTCTGAGTGCATACTTTGAGGTATCCTCGTAATAACCTTATCTTGGGAATGCCGAAATCCAAAAATGTTTAGGACGGTTCTTCTTTGTTCTTCAGCAAACTTCTTTGTTTGGAGTCCGGTGAAACGCTGGTGGCAGTCTTGTTTGTCTTTATTATAAGAGGACGCTTGTGCGCGTAATCCTTCCATATTTGGAATTTACTTATATGGTAAGATGAAAGTACCCCGTAAAATACTGCAAAATTACGGCACGCTGTAACTTATGGCGTTACGGTGACAGATGTATACTAATATCTCCATGTTTTATGGTACACATTGCAAAACAATATTGAATCCTATTTTAAAAGTAAGTCTGATATCTGCCCCTCGCAGTTTGGCAACATGGTTATGGTAGATTACAATCATTATGGAATATTGAACAAAACAATATAATAAGTTACATTATTGTATCACGTTAGTTGTTTAAGTAGCATTAAAACTGGTATCATTGTTATGGTAATTATCAACCACAGTGTCTTCTGTGTTGAATTTGATACTATCGCAAGAAACTGGATCAATTGGAATGTCATCCCCAACTTTAACTGATTTATTGTGCGTATAACGAACACTTGAAGCAGCCGATGTAACTCTTGTTGAGTACGAAGTGTTTCTTTTCTCTGTTTTTCCAGCTTCACGACAGAGAAACGCCGTGACGAAAGCTTTTCTATACCTGGCGCTCATGGCATTGTATATTATAGGGTTGATGACTGAGTTGATATAGGAAAGAACTCGCGAGTATTGAATCCAGGCTCCAAATATTTCTACAGGGATTGCCCCTGTACCGGCTGGGTCCGGGTCAAAGAGCGGTGATATAGATGCAAATTCAAACGGAAAGAGTAGTATGAAGAACAGTATGCTTGTGACGAACAACATACGTACGACTTGGTTACGAGCGGTTAAACTGCTTTTAGACCGAGCCGACTCACCAATTTTATTCTCACGTAAAATCTTGATGCATATGATGGCGTTGAGAATAACTACTATTACCAGCGACAGGCAAAACGGTATAACGTTGATACCGACAGCTAAGTACGCCAAGTCGCCGTTAGTTGTGTAACATGTCTGAACGACTTCGGGCAAATCGTCGTAGCCCGGCGGCCAGATAAAATGCATGACGTGTGTTTCAGAGTTACCAACCATTGAGGGAATTGCAAACACGATAGCAATTATCCAGGTGATCGCAATCAATAT